AATTCTGCAGTCTCTTTCGAAGTTCTCTGGTCTCGTTCGAGCGGCTTGCTCCTTGTCTTCAATTTCTCTAGTCTCTTTCGATATTCTGTAGATTCTTTCGAGCGGTTTGCTCCTTGTCTTCAAATTCTCTAGTGTCCTTCGGCATTCTCTAGCCTCTTTCGAGCGGTTTGCTCCTTCTTCTGCAATTCTCTAGTTCCTTTTGAGCGGTTTGCCGCTTGTTTCCAATTCCTCTAATCTCTTTCCATATTCACTAGTCTCTTTCGAGCGGTTTGCTCCTTCTTCTGAAATTCTGAAATTCCTGTCGGGCTTCTTCTGAAGTTCTCGTCTCTATCGAGCGGTTTGCTAAGCGAATTGCTCCTTGTTTTCTATTTCTCTAGTCTCCAGCGACATCCTCTAATCTTTCTCGAGCGGCTTGCTCCTTCTTCTGAAAGCTTCTAGTATCTTTCGAAATTCTCTCGTCCGTTTCGAGCGGTTTGCTCCATGTTTTCAAACTCTCTGGTCTCTGTCGATAGTTTCTAGTGCCTTTCGAGCGGCATGCTCCTCGTTTTCACTTTCTCTAGATCCTTTCGAGCTGTTCCCTCCTAGCCTTCAAATTCTCTAGTCTCTTTCTCGCGCGGTTTGCTCCTTTTCTGAAATTCTGAAATTCTTGTCGTGCTGTTTGCTCCTTGTTTTCAAATTCTCTAGTCTGCTTCGAAACTCTCTCGTCTCTTTCGAGCGGCTTGCTGCTTCTTCCGAAAGTCTCTAGTTCCTTTGAGCGGTTTGTTCCTTCTTCTGAAATTCTCTGGCCTCTTTCGAACGGTTTGTTCCTTGATTTCAAACTCTCCTCTCTATTATCTTTCGAGTGGTTTGCTCCTGCTGCTGAAACTGTCTAGTTCCAGATCTGCTTGCTCCTTGCTTTCATCTTCTCTAGTCTCTTTCAAAATTTTCTTAAGTCTCTTCCAAGCGGTTTGCTCCTTCTTCCGCAATTCTCTAGTTCCTTTCGAGCGGTTTGCTATCGTTCGAAACTCACCAGACTCTTTCAAAGGGTTGGCTCTTTTTTCTGAGACTCGCTCGTTCCTTTCGAGCGGTTTCGGGCGGTTTGCAAAATTCTCTAGTCGCTTTCGAGCCATTCGCTCCTTGTTTTGAAATTCTCTAGTCTTTTTAGAAGTTCTTTAGTGTCTTTCGAGCGGTTTGCTGTTTCTTCGGAAATTCTCTAGTTCCTTTCGAGCGGTGTGCTCCTTGTTTTTCAAATTCTCCAATTTTTTTGAGAGGTTTGCTGTTTCTTCGGAAATTTTCTTGTTCCTTTCGAGCGTTTTGCTCCTTGTTTCCCAATTCTCTAGTCTCTTTCGATATTCTCTAGTCTCTTTCGAGCGGATTGCTCCTTCTTCTGAAATTAATTCTCTAGTTCCTTTTGAGCGGCTTGCTCCGTTTTTCTCAATGGGATGCATGGTGACGGGTAAGATTGAAATGTTCCAAAGATCAGCAGACAGCACGTGCTAGGGGTGTGACTTGCACCATGCTGGGAAATCTGCCCAGTGATTTTTGGCAGGTCCGGAAAATTGTTTGGTGACTGTTGGGATGCATGGTGAAGAGCAACAAACGAAATTTCACCGACTTCGGCAGCCAGCACGGGCTTGCGGCGTGACTTGTCCCTTGCCTGGAAATCTCCTCAATGATTTTTAGTGGCTCCGTAAAATTCATTAGTGAGTGTTCGGCAGCATGGTGCAAGGCAACAAACTAAAATTCACGAACTTCGGCAGCCAGCACGGGCTTGGGATGTGACTTGCCCTGCCTTGAAAGCGCCCCAATTATGCTTGACGGTGCCGGAAAAATATTTGGTGACTGTTGGGATGCATGGTGAAGGGCAAAACCGACATTTCCCAAAGATCAGCAGACAGCACGGGCTAGGGGTGTGACCTGCACCATGCCTGGAAATCTGCCCATTGATTTTTGGCGGGTCCGGAAAATTGTTTGGTGACTGTTGGGATGCATGGCGAAGGGCAACAAACGAAATTTTACCGACTTCGGCAGCCAGCACGGGCTTGGGGGGGTGACTTGCCCCTTGCCTGGAAATCTCCTCAATGATTTTTGGCGGCTCCGTAAAATTCATTAGTGAGTGTTCGGTTGCATCCCCAATTTCCCGAATGCTTCGTTGTGGGCTCCGCAACACGACCTCCGAATCTGGGTTTGTTGCTTGTCTGAGCCTCCTTGCAATGCCAGGATGAGTCAAAAGTCGCCAGGGAGAGCCTGCATGAGCTCGCGGACGAGTTGCTCAACGGTTGTGATTGGAGGCCGCTTTGTTCGTAAACGATTTTTGCCACGGCTGTAAACATCATTGGCAGCTGAAACCTTTTCACAAAATCCAGGGGAGAGGCTGCTTGAGCTGGCGTGCGAGTTGCTCCACGGTTGTTTTTGGGGTTGGGTTTTCACGAACGGTTCTTCCTGCGGCTGTGACACACGTTGGCCGCTGAAACATGTTCACAAAATTCCGGGGACAGCCTGCATCAGCTCGCGGGCGAGTTGCTCCAGGGTTGTGGAGGCCGTGGTTTCGCAGGTGATTTTTCCACATTGGCTGCTGTCCGGGCAAGCGCATCGTGCCTTCACATCAAAAAACGGAACAGAACCGGACAGAACCAACCGAAAAAATACGCTTTTTCCATACCAAGTTCGCGAATGCTTCGTTTGGAAATCCCCTGCAGCTTCGGGGATGATTCACAAGGTCCAGGAGAGAGCCTGCATTGCGCTCGCGGGAAAGTTCCCCCACTTTTCACTGGAAAGAGCCGAGTTGTACTTGGAGCTTCGGGTTGCGCGAAAGACTTCTCCAAGCTGTCTAAAAATCATTGGCCCATTCCCGGGCAAGTGCATTGCACCTGCATATGGTAGAACGGAACGGAACGGAACGGAACGGAACGAACGGAACGGAACGCCAACCCCGGAACGCCCGGAACGGAACGCCAACACCCTGATTTTAGGGGCTCTATAGGGATGAGGCAAAAACCGTAAGTCCAGCAAAACTGAGGTGCTCGTAAGCGGGTGCTCCAGAGCCGCCGTTGCTGCGAAGGCCCAAGCGCTGTTGGCAGGCTGCTGCTGCCCAGACTCGGCGATTCGTACCTGTACAGGGTGTTTCGCATCGCAGTTCACCCCAGCCTCAAGTGTGCGAAGTTTCGCCATGATTTACTCCAGAGGCAGGCTTGCAAATCGTCTCTGGTCAACGAATCCGCCCACCTGGGCACAATGCCCAATGCCACTTGGCAACCTGTCGCTCAGGTGTGCTGTCCTTAGGAAGTCCGCGGCGGCAGAAAGTGTAGAAAGATGACTGACGCGGTGCAGTCGACTGTCAAGCCGGTGGCTGGGTACCAAGGCTAAGCAGCCAAGGCACACAGCAGAATTTCAGGCTCTGTTTGCGAGCGCCTTGCGAGACATGGACTTGCAGCGGCTTTGTGGAAACCGACTGGCGTTCGAGCCTCCCTCCCCTCCCCCCTAAGCCTCACTCCCATGTCACGACGGCAGGAGACATACAAAGGAGCAAACCTCGGGAGGACCCCGACCCCTCGCTCACCCCAAACCATCAACAACATGCTACATGCAACATCCAGCTACCAAAAAAGAGCGGCGGCTGGCCCCGACACACACAACCATGGGCTCTACGTGCTATCGAGAATTAATCTGTTGGCATCCCGCGGTCTCCCCTTCCCTGCTTTTAGGGCCTGCGCACCAAGTCCCGGCAGTTGAAGGAGTGCCTTACTTCTCCAGCTGGGGTTCAGTACTTGTCGGGCATACTGGCTGCTCCAATGTTCGCTGAGCGCAATAAATGAACTTGTGTAAAACTTAAAAGCCCCTAGCACGGAGGATTTCAAAAGGCAGCTTATAGTGCTCCTGACACCAACACCAGCTGCCTAGCCCAGCCCACCACGCCAACGATAGACTAGCTAGACCACTCGACTCCTGCCCACCACATCTCCGTCCAGGGGCTTCGTTTGCGAGAGTGCAGAAGGAGGCTTCCTCAGAGAGACCTGCAGGAAGATGTCTCAAAACAGTTCTCGGACCGCTCTCCTGACGTCCGCCTGCGGCGGCAAGGGCTCAAGCAGCGTTCGCCGAGGCCTGGGGCCCAGACTCACCTGCGAAGAAACAAACCCTCTCAAGGGGTTCCGTGCTAAATTGACGGTCAAGGCTTCCGGGCTGGAGACCCCTGAATGATGCAAGTCAAACGAGTGCTCGGCGGAATGATTAGGCGGGCGAATGATTTGAACAATGCTCCCGGGATCCTGGATACCTTTGTCCAAGGCCTGGACATACCTCAGCTGCCTCATTCGTAAACTTGCCGAAATCAGCTTTCGTCCCTGCTAGTTGGGCCTTTGTCTGCCAGCTGTGAAGTGCACGCCGTGCCATACAGTGAAGTTTAGGCCATCCGAAGGCTTCCGTTTGTGGCTCTTGTAGAATTTTGACTGCATGGGCTGCAACAGTGACTAGTCACGAGCACGGCTTCGATTCCATCCGATCCTGTGCCTCGGTCGACCCTGCTGCACACCCTCTGCCCCAAACTACATCCGGCGCTTAAAGGCCCCCAATCCTGCACGCAGAAGTCCTCGAAGTCACAATAAAGCACATATATACACGACTCCTCACTTTCATCTGACAAGTCCAGTGGCTCAAACAGCAGGATGCTGCCCCACGCGAGGCTGCGAGCAAGGGCTCATTTCCTGCGGCAGTCGAGTTTCAAAGATCTTAAAAGGCTTCGCAAGGAATTTGCGGCGCGAAATCCCTGCAACGAACAAGTTGACCCGAACGAGGCCGGTCGCTGTTGACCTTGGCATTTCCGGCCTTGCTCACACGTTAACATAGCACAGACAAGTGGTCGCAGGATGGTTACGAATAGTTACGAATCTTACGAAGGCTTCGGGGCAGTCCTGCAAGCAACGTCGCAAATCTCCACACCATGTTGGAGGTGTTCTGCGGGTGGAAATGCGCAATCTTCTGAACAGCCTCTCCTTGCGCAACATTACTACGCAGCTGCCAAAAGTCTACAGCTGCAAACTGCTGAAAGCAGCCGAGACTCCTCCAACCGCAAAAGACAGCGCATCGCGATCCAACGCCATGGTGCCGGACGCCCACACCAGGTTCGTTGGGTTCTGGGGCTCCAATCTTTCCAAGATGAGAAACGCGCGGTGGCCGGGTGCATGCATGAGCGGGATACCCAGCATTGCCAGCGTTCCGAGTGACCAAGCAGCGGTGCCAGTCTCTTGCGGGCCGCACTCCGAAGTCCGTAGCTGCAGCTGAGAGCTTGCAAGGTCAAGTGAGGACCGGTCAAGCTGGCCAAGGCTTGCCCGGGACCAGGCCAAGTTGGCGGGACCCCGCGCCTCCAGTTCGCCGGGGCTTTTCGCAACGTGTCGAGCGATGACCTCTTGCAAGGATTGGACGGCCAGCCCGGCCTTGCCAAATCTTCAAGCAATGTTGAAGAGCTCCTGCGGAGTTGCTTCACCGACTGTCTGGCAGAAGGTCGTCGAGGTTGCATCCGACAACCTCTCGGGAACATGCATCATGCGTGCGGGAGCCCAGGCCAGGTTGGCGCAGTGCTGCGGCCTGGGTTCCGGCACGAGCCTGCTTGAGGCCGCGGCAGCTGCTTTGAAGGAGGCCATCTTTCGTAAAACGAGCGTCGCCCACGCCCAAGCCAGGTTTGCCAGCTTTTGGCTGTCGGGCTCGTTCATGCTGCGCAGGGCCTGCTCCCTCGTCACTTCCAACAGCTGCTCGTCTTGGTAGCAGGCCTTGCCAGATGCCCAGGCGCCGTTCGCAGCCTGCATGTCTTTTTCAATCTAGCAGCAGGCACAAGGAACAAAACACCGAAGTCCTCTTGCAGGATCCACTTTGCCCGGCCTGCTGTGGGTTGTGCTGCCGTACCAATGTCCGTACTCTCGCGGCGACTGAGCTCGGGGGTGGAACGCCGCTCGGCTGCAGACCTTGCGATACCACAGCATGCCATCCGTTGCCAAACTCAGTGGCATGCCGTGGCACATATTGGCACACAGCAACCCTCCGCGCCTGCCAGCGACCAAACAAAGTTGGTCAAAGGAAGCGGCTGAAACTCATCGAGAACGGCCAGGGCACGAGAGCAGATCAGAGCCAGCAAGGCCTCAACAGACACAGAAGCTGAAACGTGCTGCTGCAGCTTCAAGACAGAAAAACATCATGAGAAGTCACATGAAAAAGTGAGTAAGCCCGCCTGGCCGTAAATGTGCGATGTGGCCCAGGACCATGCAACATTGACCAGGCTCTGCGGCTCGAGCTGCGCTATCTTGGCAATCGAAGCTGCTGCGGCTGCCGTGGAGGAGGGCCTGCCCCGAAGGCTCGTTTTGCCTAGTCCCCAAGCCGTGTTTGCCAAGCCCTGCGGATCAAACTTGGTGATCTTTACCACAGCCGCCGTGGCGATGCTCTCCAGCGAAAGCAGGCCTCGATAAGCCGGGCGACCGAAGCTTCGAGCTCCGTTGGACAGGTTTTGTGGCGGAAGCTGCTGCAGTCTCCCAGCTGTCTGCACTGCAAGGGCTGCCACCAAAGCCCGGTCAGGCCACGAAGGAGTCGCTGCGGCCCAGGATGTGTTCGAAGTGCCTTGGACATCAGGCTCGTGAAGCCGCGCAAACGTCGAGAAAGTCGCGGAGCATGCGAATGTGCCACTCAAAGCGAAGCGAGCCGAAGCCCAGATAAAGTTCGTCGGTACCTGTGCTTCATGTGTTGCAAAATCCCGGCTTTTCTAGCCGATCTCCCGTGCCAGGGACGTGGCCAGCGGGCCGCCAGTGTAGCGTGCCTTTGCGAAGGCCCAGAACAAGCGCACCAGCCACTGCAAGCGGAAGACCTCCAGCTGGCCTTGCACCTGCCGTGACGGAGCATGCAACACCAAGGCGTCCTTGCATCCGAGCTTTCCAAGCCACCATACGGTATTCACCGATTCCTGCGACTCGGGCTAGGGGCTCAGCTCCACGCAAGTTGTGCACAAACGTCGGGCCAGCGGGCCATCTTGCACTGCCAACCTGCCACACCACCAGGCTAGATCTGAAAAGCCTCGCGCATCCACGTCTCGCATCTCAAGTCCGCTCAGGCATCTCTGCAAGCGACCATCCTGCCTCAACCTGGCAGGGTCCTGAGGGCCCGCCCCTTTCCCCATCCTACACAAGGAGGCCCTTGAATTTACTGCAGCAAAATATGAGAGATCCCGAGAGTCCTCGCTTCTCACCGCAGCGACTCGCCGCAAAGCGGTGAGCTGCGCACGAATGTCCTCGGCCGGCACGCGATCCAAGTGAGCCACGAGTTGCTCCGGAGTCTGGGCTATGTCCTCAGCTCAGGGAAAAAGGCAGCCCAAAAGCCAGCTCAGGAAAAGCCACAGAAACGATGAAAACAGAACGCAAAACAGAGAGAGGGAGAGAGGGAGGGGGGGAGGGGGAGAGAGAAAGCCTAGGCTCTTGAAAAGAAAGTCAACTTAGCCCAGGCTCCGCCCCTCTGCCAGGCCTCCCGGAACCCTTTGGCCTCCACTCGAGGGCCCGAGGCCCTGACATGCCGCCATGGCGATCTTCGGGACAATTATGGGATCCCTCTTGACATGAAACTGGGTCGGAGCTTGGGGCTGATACTGCTTAGGACTTAAGGCTTCGGTTCCATAACAGCGACTTGTGGCATGGAAGTCTTGCCTGTGCCATGTTGAGCCTGCCAGTCTCGACATGCACAATCGGATGTGACCCGGGTGGTTCGTCAGCCAGACGTTTGGCATTCCGAGCGGTGGATGGCACACTATTCTGGCGGCTATCGCGCTGCAGTGTGCGGCAGGGCTCAACATCAACCCTAAGGCCGTAAACGCACTCGAATGGTCGATTGTCATCTGTGTACCCAGCAGGCACAGGACCCAAGCTCACAACACTGCAACTCCACACAACCAATTTTTCACAGAGCCCGCTGATACAATTTCAGAGCTCGAAACCTTGCGCATCACCAGAAATCCCGAGAAGGCTGAAAGTACGGGAACCAGGACTCGCGGCATCAAACTCACTTCTCGGCCCGCTTCCACCGCTGGAGCGGCGTCTCCACCTCCTTAGTCCGATCTTCGAAGAGGCTTCTTTCTGACCTAAACAACTGGTTTTGTACTTGAAGGCTGGAGGTGGAGCAGGCACGACCTCTCAACACAGGACAAGTTACTAGCGGCTAGCGACCGGAAACCAAACCTGCTCACCGCAGTGGCTTCCTTGCAATGCTCGGCTGCAGAGCTTTCACCGTCTCCATTACCAATGAGTCTTTCCTGACGTTCTTCACAGCGTGATGGCCACGCTGCGAGCACTGAGCTGCAGCTTTTTGTACTCCTTGCCGTTGGTGTGAAGCGTCTCATGCATTTCCTGGGCCTGATTTCGACGACCAGCCACGTCTACGAATCCTGTGCTGCGAGGATGCATCGAGATTGCACACAAACCTGCACTCCCGGCGGTGCCGGAATTGCCTGCCAAATTGGGGCGACACGATTCGCCCAAATTCCCGCCACAACCCCCCGACACCCATTATCTCAAGCTGTGCCACATAGGGCCCTAACGATTTCGGCGGTGCTGTGAAAACAATTCAACCTGGCGTCCATTGCTTGTGCAGGTGGCAAGTCCGGGGCCCAGCTCTTCCTGTCGATCGGATTCAACCTTGCAGGAAGCGAGACAATGCCAGGGATGCACACTGAGGTCTTAGAATTCGGGTCTTCAGTCCGATGTTTCCAATCATCGTGCGATTCAGCTTTTCTTTGGCTGCCTAGCTGCCAGGCACGTCTTGCCTGGACTGTTCTGCTGCTTAGACGCAATCTCAGACAGGGTTCGGGTTAGAAGCATTCACGCGGCAGAGCCAACAGTCACATCCAATCAAATCCTGAAAGGGCCGGCCGGGTCGCTGCCGAAACCACGTGCTGTCCCCGAATACTTCGGCGGGTTTACCTTGAGCCGGGCTTTGTCTTACGCTTCGAAGCTGTTTCTGCGCACACCAAGCAGGGAAGCATGGCCCTGGATGATGTCCTCGGGGCCGAAATCCCCTCAAGTATTGCTGTAGCTCCCGATCTAGTGCAGCGTAGTCTTGGTCATGGTCCTTGCTGTTAAACTTCACAAAACAACCAGTCCAGTCCACGCGACCCGGGAATTTCTGGGCTGCAACTATGAAGTATAATTATTCCTCTTTTGACTCCGCCCTGGCGCCTGAAGCAACCTACCTACCTTGGTCCAGGTGCTGGCACCGCAGCCCAGCACGACCTGAAACCTGATGCCGCCTATCATCAGACTCACCGGCCGCTCAAGTCGAAGTGCCATCAGAACCCCCACAGCCTTTAACCCCTCTACTCTCTTCCTCGTTGTCAGGACACTCGGCGTCATTGCCGCGTAGCCCAAGGCTCGATTTGCCGCAAAGGACTCGACGTCCTGGGCCTCTGATTGCAGACTGCTGGGGGTTAACGGGCAGGGCGCAGGTTGCCAGCGGAGGCCGGCCATCGACAATCGACGGAAAGCCGTGAGGCCGGAAACCGAGGGTGCCAGTTGGAGGCCGCGTAAGGGGGTGCACGCGCCCAACTGAGACATGCATAGTTCGACTCAGGTGCGGCTTGCGTCGCAAGCGGCGGAGGAGTAGCACTTATTCACGAAACTGCTCAAGGCGTTCTTTTGCATCTGTGTCTAGGTGGTGTTTTCGTTGGTTGAGGCCCTTGAAGTCTGATGCTTTACGGAATACCGGACCGTGGGATCAGGAAAACCGAGCTTGCCTAGGCGACGGTGGCATGGAAGGACGGTGTTGCATTCTTGTTTGCGTATTCGAGGAACATCCGTGGAAAGATTTTGAAGCTTTGGTGCAGAGGTCTAGGGATGGTACTAATCCCGTACGCCTGATTGATGGTGATGATCGTCTTTGTCATCATCGACACCATCAGGATGGAAGGTTGGAGGTTTGACTGCGTCGCTATATGCGTCATGCACTGCTTGGCTGAGTGTCCACAGTTAAGAACTGAAAAGCTCATTATCAGCCGAACGAATCTCGACATCAATCCAAAGAAGCCGTCAGTCGCTCTGTCAGAGCGAAACCGTGAGTCGGCAAGCCAGCGAAATCGCCACTACACCTCTCGTGCCTGAAAAACATAGAAACATACAAAAACATGTCTGTTTACACGGCTGACCCTTGAAAAACTGCGATCGAATCAAACTCTCCCACCTGCGCGTCTACCACGGCCTCTCCAATAGAAGTGAAGCGCGCCTAAGCAAGATGTCAAGATGGAAGAGGTTGCTGCCCACAGCCGAATACTCTATCAGAAGCATTGCACGCATTGCTTATCACGGTTATGATGCTAACAACAGGGACTGTAAGCTACGTTCCCAATTCCAACAGCAATACTAACGAAAGTATTGGCAACGGCACAAGACAACAACACGTGCGGCCGTGGTGGTAGTAGTTAGTAGTAGCCGTAGTAGTAGTAGTAGTAGTAGTAGTAGTAGTTGTTGTTGTTCTTGCACCATGGTCCGCCAGGGGCGGGGCAAAGTGGCGCGGCATATTGGCCATATTGGTCGGAGTTTTATAAGCGGTCCTGTAATGCCGCTTCGATTTGTTTTTGTTATTATTGTTATTAGTAGTAGTAGTAGTAGTAGTAGTAGTAGTAGTAGCAGTAGCAGTATTAGTAGTGATAATATTAGTAGTAGTAATAGTAGTAGTAGTAGTAGTAGTAGTAGTAGTAGTAGGTAGTACTGGTACAGTCGTAGTAGTACTGGTACAGTAGTAGCAGCTCTGGTACTGGTACTGGTACTGGTACTGGTACTGGTACTAGTACTAGTACTAGTACTAGTACCAGTACTAGTACTAGTACCAGTACTAGTACTAGTACTAGTACTAGTGCCAGTAGCAGTAGCAGTAGCAGTAGCAGTAGCAGCAGCAGCAGCAGCAGCAGCAGCAGCAGCAGTAGTAGTAGCAGTAGTAGTAGTAGTAGTAGTAGTAGTAACAAGTAGTAGCA